ACATACATGAGCACATTTGCTTCTCACAACAAAGCTATCACATGAAAGTCATTATCACAGCTTTTAGTTGAAGGAAACTGAGATCACATAGCTCTTAAATGGTGGAGTTCAGGATTTAAATCTAAGATTGGATGACTCCAAAGCCAGAAACCACCAAGATGCTTCCTATATTAAAGGAAGTTGATGATAAAATATCAGAATATTAAAGAGAAAAATCACTAAAGCAGATGAATGTTGTGTTTGACATGCATATTCACAATCAGATTCAGAGGGCAAACTTGGATAATTTGATTTATCCTCCTTAGGCTTCAGTCTTGCTAAGGTCTGCTATTTTGTGATACCAAGACCTATTTAAAACAAAATAATCTTGTTTAATCAATGGTACAAACTGAGCAAAAAACCATCTTTGGCTCCCCTTACCCATGGTTTACTAGGCATGACAAAATTCCTCAAACTTTCCTCTTAGGGCTGGAGTAAGGGTGGGTGAGCTCCAGAATTTAGCCATGCATTCATTCATTTTCTTATTAGCAACCATTTATTGAGTGCTTAATATATATATGAACCGGGCACTTGGTTTAAATAAGCAAAATGATACAGTCCTATCCATACAGAATGTACAACCTATCACTTCATAAAAACCAATAACTATAGGTGAGTGCAGTAGATACTATAGAGGGAAAACTAAGGTCTTATGGGAACACATTAAAGTGATACCTCATTTTGATATTGTACTTCAGGGAAAGTACTATGACATAGTACTTCTGCATCAAGAGGAAGAAGAGAAGAGAGCCATAAGCTTTCTGAGCAAAAGGAAGAGCCTTCTCAAATTGATTTAAAAAAAAAAAAAAAAAAAAAAACAGAGGGAAGAAAAGGGCACTCACCAAACGACTCATAGTTCTTGGACAATGACCAAACATCAGGCCAAAAAATAGAATAAATTTGTTTTTCTTTGGTCCCCATGCAATGACTTGGCCATTCTATGACTAGGGCTGCCCTTGGTTAACATATGCCCCAAGCAGCCTCTGGCCATCAGAGCCTTTTGCTATGATCTTTTCTGTGTATCCTCTGGCATTCTCAAGACCATTTCAGTGAAATTGAAGTTTGCATGTAAAATCAGACTGCACAGAGAAAATCACCTACTGTCAGAATTACTCTAGAAAATCACTTAGAATGTCTCCATTTTAGATCTCTCAAGGTCTAATACAGTCAGTTTTTTCACCAGCAGTGGAAGAGATAATTATTTATATTCAAGACAGATAACTGGCTTAGAAGATTTGGGCCAAAACCATATTGTGGGGTGAACAGATCCCCTTCCTTCAAAGACATTAAATTTTGAGAAGTGTCTATAGCAAGTGAGATGTCTACATGACAAGAGGTGGAGGGAATGGCAGATACAAGTTCTTTTTGGTATACTTGCTCTTTACTGTTGTAAATTTTTGACTGAATGGTGAATACGTGGCTCCTGCCTGAAAGCAAGCAGGATGCTCCCTTGTCTACCTGGGGCCCAATGCATTGTAGAAAGTTAAACTACGACAAGTGACCCAGATGGAGGGAAGATCTAGATAAAATAAATAGTATTACCTTGACATTAAAAGGGAGATTTATCTGGGTCTGTAAGAACTGTCAGTGTCATCAAGTCACCTAATCTAGGCAGCTATGACATGGACACAAAATCATCCCAACTCACACTTGCCATTAGTATACTGGCCAGTTTACCCTGCCTGTCTGCTTTCAGAATCGGAATGTGTTCAACATTACATGACTTTTACTCCAGCACCACGATTATAAGGAATATTTGACAACAGACCTTCAAACATTTAGAACGTATCTACTGTGTGCTTATTGTGACATGTTTGGGAAGTGGGAGTAAATATTAATGGAACACATTTCCTTTATCCTCCAGTCTAGCGGAAGAGCAAGCAATACACAGGAAATTAGAACACAATCAGTGCAAGTTTGGGCTCTACAGGAACACACAGGAGTGGGTCTTACCTTAAGCCAGGCGCAGAAGAGGGAGGCAATTCTTTCAAAATGCAGCGAGCTGCATGAGTCTGTAGCATGAGTAGTAAGGGGTTTTTTGTTTGACAAGTGTTGATGATGAAGTGAATAGAAGATGCCTGTGTGCCCCGAATACAAACTATATTTTCAGGAAGAATAAAATGTAGATATGAGCCACAAAGAAGAGTCTGCACCTCTGATGAGAATCTGCGGAGCAGTTGAAAGCTCAATCCTGCCTAAAAGAAAAAGAAAACAGAAAAATTGACAGCCCTCAATGGCATTTCAGTCCCTTGCTGGAGTGATGTTTACGTGAAATATCAAATACTTTGAAAACCTTATAGGAAATAGTATGCTAAATGTGTCTGCAAATCACTGGCAATATCATAAGCACACGTTTACATGCAACTTTTAAACAAGATCTTCCAAACACGCATGGACATGTTTGGACTACTGACAACATAACATCAGCAAAAGGTTGAGCAGCACTCTTTGTTCAGTTAAGTAACTAGTCATTGGTCAGTAATTTTGTCATAGAGGCACACGTTATTCAGAGGAAAACAAAAACAGCGCTGGAATTGTTGGGAATTTTCAATAATTGAAGAAAATACTAAAAACAGCGTATTTTTCAGTCCACTCAAAAACATCTCTTGACCACTAAAGCATATAAATGGGGTATAATACCCAGGAAAACAGGGCTAAGAATATAGATTTTCTCCATAGTTCCCTTTAGTAGGTTTAATTATATTTAGTAACTCAGTGTATCATTCATTAGATATACTACTAGTTGGACTATCTTTTTTTTAAAGCTTCTTGCTTGCTAATTGTGATCCATGCCAAATTTCTTGGAGGTGATTTTTTTATTTTAGATTCAGGGGAACCATGTATAGGTTTGTTACATGGATACGTTGCTTAATGGAGAGGTTTGGGCTTCCAGTATTGGATTACTGTTTTCACTTCAATAGTATCGTCACCAAGAAGGCAAATGTGTGTGTCAAGTCCTAGTAAACAACTATGTCTATCCCCAGTATTAGAAGCACAAAAAGAGGAAAGAAATAGTGCAAAGAAATAGACACAAACGGTAGTAATTTCATTTTCTATACTTCACATTATTGAATCATTTCAGAAGATGTGCCTCCATAAAAGCCTTATCAGAATCATAGGCCCGCCTGTGGCAAAAATACCAATCCATATTCAAACTTCCTATAGTCACATACAACTTGAAAAATATTGAATGTCCTCATCATTTCACCAAGTCATTTAAAGACAAAACAATTGTCAGGTGCTGCCCCAAATGATATTGTTTAAACACCCACTAGCAACATCTCTTAATATATTTTTTGCCTTTCAGATTTCTAAATGTTTGTTTCAAAATAGTAGGAGAGAATAACTACTCCCATTGTATTCAGCAGAAAGTTTTATTCAATGGGAAGCAATAAAATATAATGAAACAAAGCACCTATGATTCAGAATGAGAAAGACCTGCTTTTGAATCTTGGCTTTGCCATTTATTAGTTGTATGACCTTGGGAAAATTGTTTAACATCTCTGAACCCCAGTTCCCTGTGTCCTAAAATCGAGGTATTAGTAGCTACCTAATTAGGTAGTTGTATTAATAAAGATATCACATGTAAAACATACTGTACTGCCTGGCTTACTTTAGAGACTCAGTAATAGCTACTATCATGATTACTTGTTATTAATACTAAAATGGCTTTTATTGACTTCTGATTTCATTGTTAGTGCTTTTCTTTTTTTTTTTTTTGAGACAGAGTCTCGCTCTGTCGCCCAGGCTGGAGCGCAGTGGTCGGATCTCAGCTCACTGCAAGCTCCGCCTCCCGGGTTTACACCATTCTCCTGCCTCAGCCTCCCGAGTAGCTGGGATTATAGGCGCCCGCCACCTCGCCTGGCTAGTTTTTTGTATTTTTTTTTTTTAGTAGAGACGGGGTTTCACCGTGTTAGCCAGGATGGTCTCGATTTCCTGACCTTGTGATCCGCCCGTCTCGGCCTCCCAAAGTGCTGGGATTACAGGCTTGAACTACCGCGCCCGGCCGTTAGTGCTTTTCTAAATGTGCCCTTCAGGAGGAAGAGTTCGGGTTTTGGACTACTAAAATCTGTGTTTGAATCCTGAATGTTCTGTGGAATGCAGGAAACGCCACTTAACCTCTGAACCAGAGCTTCTTCCAATGAAAAATTTGAGTATTAATGCCTACATTGCCAGATTATTACAAAGATTGAATGAAGTCATCTTCAGGACACAGAGTAGACACTCAGTGCCTAATACTTCTAGTATTAATATTATTGCAATAGCAGTAGTTGAAAAACAAGGAATCATCTGATTTATCTATCTTGGAGCAAAATAATACCATCTTTACAGGGATGGAAAACAGGGTTGTTGTCTTCAGTTGCCAACCATGCTGGTTAGTGACACCATAGCATGTTCTGTGAGAAGGACTACAGTATTTAGTGAAGCCACATATGAATTGCAATGTTGATGAATACAGAAATTAGGATGTCTAATACATAACCATTACTACATTTAAATATCCTGGGATATCTGCACAAAGCCACTTGCAAATGCAAAATAGTCTACCAATACTATATTTTACAAACTGGGAGTATAAAGCAACTGTCTTATTTTCATGAGTAAGGCACTGGAAAAAACAGTAGTATTACGTGGGAAAGCAGGAAAAAAAAAAAACAAGGACCAAATCCTTTCACTCTATTTTTCTACAAAGCAATTCTTTGTCAAAGCATTGTCCCAATTTGTCATCATCCAAACATTCTAAGTTAACTTGTTTCCATTTATTCAAATCAGTGGTAGCGACTATTACAAATGAAGTGAAGGATAGAGACCTTAAGATAACAAAGGTTTCTCAAGGGTGATTCTAAAATGTCCCTGTATGTTACAAATAATTGCTTTAACACAATATGTATAAAAAAATAAGAGAAGCATTCCATTTAAGAACCAATTACTTAGAAACCAAAGGAATAGGCCCGAGAAAATTTGCTTTAATCAACTGGTTTTATTTCCTAGAACTGAAATATTCTACGGTTGGTTCTCAGATCTAAACTTCCGAAGCTGCAGTCAACAATTTTTCATCAGAGCCCAAGGGAGAGGGGAAGGGGTAAAGAGACAATATATGGAGAAAGGCACATAGACCATTAGGAAGAGGGTGGGAGGAGACACATCTTCCTCTGTTTTATCAGTGGGCTACATACTAGACCTGTTGATGGGACCAGGTGATGGTACCTGAGTGGAAAATGACACTGAGGAACAGCAAAGCCTTACTACAAGTCATAAAACCTCAAACAGAAAGTGAGCCTTCTAGTTTATCTCAAAAATGGAATAGCAATGGGAAAGCTAGGGCCAGTGTGGAGGCACACCTAGGGGTAGTTCTTAAAAATTTTTTGGAACTTCCTTTTATTAAAAAGATTTTCTAAAATATGTGTCTTTACGCCTGAGTGGTATGTATGACCGTAGGGTGGCCTTGAGGCTGTGGGGAGAGAAAGCGGCAGCCAAGGATCTTCCCAGGGTATCCCATCAGTGGCCCCAGAGATCTACATGGAGACAGATATTTCTCAAGGTCCCCACTCAGGATACTAGGCAAAGTCAAGTTTTCAGATCTCACAAACAACTTGGAAGCCCCCAAATGTTTTGATGAAAAACGGCAACTCCCGGAACCTCTTGGGTCAGCAAAACGATTTGTGGGGGCGGGGGGGGGATTCCCCACATGCTGCCCCACGTTTCCCTGAATGTCTGAAGCTGGGAGGTATGGCAGGCGTGGACGGGAGCTCAGGAAGATGTCACTCTCCTGCCCGCTAACTACCACAGTTTGAAGACTGAAAGTGCCCCCTGCTCTTCATCTTTCAGGCCTTTCGCTCCTACCCACATTCCTAAGCAGAGGTCCATGATGCCTGGGGGAGCAGGAGGGGTAGGGAGGGGTGTCTAGAGGTTAAAACAGCCTGCCTGAGCCCCAAGTCGGAAACGGATCCAGGCAACGGGGTGGGGGGGATGTTGAGCGGGGAGAAGAGGGAGAGGAAAGTGGGGATGGTGGCCTCACTTTATCCCAGGGAGGGAACTGAGGCCCTGACTCAGATCACAGAGACGTGGGGGCACAGAGGTGAGAGTCAGGTGATCTGCCATCCAGGGGCCGGGCAGGGCAAGGGAGTGTAGGTTGGAGGAGGACGGGCTGGGGAGGGGGGAAAGGCAGTCCCAGTTTGCAGGCCATGGCCAGATTCCCCAGGAACAGCCAGGCCGCAGCAGGAACGGGGCAGGGGCTCTTCTGGAAACGCTGGTAACTACACGCTGTCGCGATCTCCGCCGCCCGGTGCCTCGGCATGCCACTCCTGGGAGGCCTCCTCGTCGGCAACTTCTTCCTCCCGGAGCTCCTCCTCCTCTGGCTGAGGCGGCTCGCAGGCCAGGCCGGGCTCCCTAGGGGCGCTGCCGTTCTCCACCGCCACGAGGAGCGGACTCTCCTCGTCGAAGGCCGCCGCCGCCGCCGCCGCCGCCTCCGCCGCCTCCGCCTCCTCCGCCTCCGCCTCCGCCTCCTCCTCCTCCTCTTGGTCGGGGGCTGCCTCCTTGGGTCGTTTGGGGGCGTCCTCCGGCGGGTCCACCGCGCTCCTCTTCAGCGGCCCCTTCTCCTCCTTCTCCTCAGCGGGCTTGTCGTCGTGCGGCTTCCCCAGGTCGTCGCCGCCGCCATCAGCGTGAGTCGGCTTGTCCGCGTCGCCCTCCGCGGCCTCAGGCTCCGGCCGGGGCCCGTCTCCGCCGCCCTTCTCCAAGGCTAATGGGCAGTCGGCGGCCTGGACTGTGGGGTTGTTCTCGATCTCCCACAGCCCCTCGCTGAAGCCGCGCCTCTTGTTGGGCTTGCCGAACTTCTCCTTGCACTCCTTGTACGGGAACAGGCGTTTGGGACTCAGGAAGGCCGTCTCGTGGGTCCCGAAGAAAAACACCTGGTAGCGGTTGGGCTGGGTCATGTGCTCTATCCGCGCCGGCCAGTGGGCATAGCCCTTTAACTTGGCAAACACCAGGTCCCCGCTCTTGTACATGGGCATGCCGTAGGCCGACATACCTGGTTCTGCGGACCCGGCCTGGGCCACACCGGAAGTAGACGCCGGGGTCTGCGCGCGCGCAGTAAGGGCGGCTGCTGGGCGGGAGTTGTTGAGCGACCTGCTCGAGGGACCCGGCGCCACCTAATGGGCGGGCAACGCTCGCGGCCCCGAGAAGATTCCACTGGGAAGAGTGCATTATCTCCCGAACACGCGAAGCCGGTTGGACCCACCCTCGGACGCCATGATGTCTAGAATGCTGGAGGAAATAGCTGGGATGGCCGGGTGGCGGTTGTGCTTGTGGTGGCCTTGTGCTGCTCATCAATCTCTAGGGCACCTGGGCCAGATGGTTGCATAGTTTAAATAAATGGTACCAGAGCGGCCTAGAAAGGGGGCAATGTGACAAGAAAACACAGTGACACAATTAGTACATGTTTCCATGAAACTAGTAACAGCCCAGGGCAAGCATGCAGTGTCCCTGTGGGCCCTGATCTGCTCACTACAGGAAACTGTACACCTGCGTTAGGAATAGCTGAATAACTGACTGTGTCAATGGTTTCAACCCTTGTCTGATTTTCTCCGGGACTAGCACTGGAGCCTGCAGTGAGGCTCAAGAACTAGGTGAAAGTCTGGTAAAGAGTTAGAGTCAGCAGCGTGGTTAGGATGTCTAAAGTCCACATTACTGGGTAACAAAAATGTCAAACATTATTATATCTTTAGGGTCACAAAAAGTGTATAGGACCACCACCACCACGGCAAACAGACATCTAAATATATTCCCTACTTTCTATGGAAATGTTCACCTTGGATGCCAGACATGAACTTTAAACTTTGTTGGTGATTGTATTGTGTTGTGAAAGATGAGGCTATATGGTTGTAACGTTGAGATCATGGCACATGTTTTCAGTATCTTTCTAGAAGAGACGAAAATTGGGTTCATTATGCATAAGAATTAGGTAGACATCTGCTCATATGGAACATGCTATTGGTAACTAGAACTTCCTGTGAACTACAGACTAAAAAAATGTAATCTCAGCTGAGAAACTATTTTAAAAAGAGAATTTTCTTCAGCTATAAGTCTCTTCCAAACATATGAATGAAAGTGTCAGTGCAACTGCAGGTGTTTACACAACTTTCTACATCTTTTTTGGATCCTGCTTGCTAGCTGTGAGCAAGCACTCTGAAACCTACCCAAATTTATCATACCAGTAATCATGAGTATTATAACTAGACAGATGTTCCTTCCCAGTGTAACCAACAGACCAGACGAGAATCAGAGCCCTTAACCCATTTCAGTACCACTCAAATTTGTTTCCCATTTGCTGGGTTGTAACAACCATTTGAACTCTGAATGGTTGACAGACATGCTCTAGGCAAAAGGAGATATCCCCTCCCTAACAAGGTGAAATGAACATGAAGCCCTTTGATAATTCTAAAATTCTAAACAAGTTCTTTCAGCTCTTCTGTCAAGCCATTTTCTTAGAATGCCTATCTGCCCTACTCATATCTACCACACCTTTATTAAATAAGTAACATCAACAGTGCATCAACACTTCATTTACAAATCAACATCCTGCTACAAAGATGAATCTGACAAGTTCCCTCTTCTGAATTTTACAGAGAAAGTGCTAGAAAACTAGAAATGTTTAGTGGCCATAGAAGAAAATAGGAAATGATAGGCAGCCATGGAGCCCATAATAGAAAGGAATTTGGAATATCTGTAAGCGGAGATATTGCTATATGTGGCCTTTTTTTTTTCAGCTAAGTATGCTGTACCAATGCACATATCATGTATGAAGTTTGCCGAAGTAGGAAAAAATCTAGCTAGATAGCATGTCTAGAAGAGGTATTTGGTTGTACAATGAGCTCAATCTGAAGGCAGAACCAGTTCTAAAAGCCAGCTGCTGAAGCTGAAGGTGGCAAAGATGCCTCACTAGAAAAAGCCAACATCAATAGTTGGGTGGTTGAACTACAGCAGGTGAACAAGTATGAGGGTGTGAAGGCAGGACTGGGGATGTAAAGGTTAGAGCAATAACCAACACCTATGGAAAACTGAGAGAAAAAGTATAGCAGGAAGCAAAGGCAAAAAGATCTAGTAGAGAAAGATCTAGGTCTGCAAAGAGCAGTACAGATTCTATTAAGCAAAGAAGTGTTGTTCCCCAAGTAGATCTTGTGCCTCCACCCTTGCCCACTAATACAGTGTAATGCTGAAAGGCTGGCACAAAAGATGTTTACTTTTGAGGAGCTTAAAATCTCATTTAAGAGATGAAGCCCTGGAGAGTTCATTACAGAACAATACAAGCTAGCCTTCAAATGCCAAATTGTGTGTTCTTAAATACTGAAAGAATTCCAGGAGAAATCAATGGGAGTGTGGTTACTAGGGCAGTCCTATAGAAGGGATAGTAGGAGATAGAATAAAAACAATTCTGGCATTTCTCACTTGTTTGCCAGCTTTGTAAGGCCAGGGGTTAATATAATCTTTGTGAACCTCTGCTACATGATTTCAAGATATTTAAAGTAATACTCAATTTCTTTCAGGATTATTACAAATATTAATGGGATTATGGACATGAAAGCCTAGACGATGGCTATGAAGGTCTATGATGTGCCAATAAGTGTGAAGTTGACTTTTATTATGGATTAGGCTATTATTATCATTAGGTTATGTGAGGAAAAAGATATATCCAAAGTAGTAGAGAGTCGTGAATAAGGGCACTGAAGAAAAGTCCCCACCAGCTGAATTACATATTATATACAGAATTATATATCCAGCACATCTTCTTCTGTATGAAACTGACCTAAAAGTTTTTGTTACTTGGAAATATGATCTTGTAAAACAGTGTTCTCTAATTACATTTATCACCTGATGGTAGCTTATTCTACCATTAGAAAAGGGAAAATGGGAGGAAGGTTGAGAAGAAGCAACCATTTAAATAAGTTTCATGGAGACCACTTTTACAGATACATCATTTCTTCTATTCCTACATTCTCAAGGATGCAGTTAAGTGGAGTGATCTTGGCTGCTTTTACCTTTGAAACCAACTTGCTTTTAAAGCTATTGTATCTCTTGCTCAAAGTGAGGAGAGTAGAGAGGATACATTCATGATGACATGGTTTGGTTTAGATTTAGCTAGTATATAAACAAAGTACTCATGAGCCACTGCAATGATTATTTTTCAGTAACTAAAACTTCGTGAGTATAACTGTTTCTAATAGGTCAGGATGTTTTAAAAATCATGTGTACCGGGAACACCTGTTTGTCAAGAGGACCTAATTTCAGCAGCAGCATACCTATCAAAACACCTTAGAGTCCAAAACATATAACACTTATCATTTCCCTTTTCTGGAAAACTAATGATAGGATTTAAAAGCTGCTTGGCAACAATTATGAAACATAGGCAATAAAACAACGTAATTATACAAGAGAGAGAATAGATACCTAATTGATGTTTTCTTGTTTAGTTACTTTTAAATTCAATTAGCTTGGTGTAAACTATGATTTAAGAGAAACGTAATTGTTTTCTGTGTGCTTTTGTCTTCATTAAAAATATTAACTGCCTCTGGGTTTATGCAATAGAAGTGTTTATACATGGTTAGTATTTGAGATCAAGGCTTTTCTTTTTAAAATGTTCTAGCAGACATAATCATACAGAGTAAGTCCTCCCCTCCACCATGGGTAGAAACTCCCCCACTGTTCTTTTTTGAAAAGTCACAGGATGTCTGCTACCTCTATATTTTGTCACCTCTATGTTTCATCCATGTCCACTAAGCCTAGCCTCTAAAGCCTCAGGGATTTGTGCAATACTGGCAACTGCTCAGAGTGGAAATAAATTCAGTTTCAATGAGGATGTTCTAGGAGCCAAAGAGTAATTTAAGGGATGTTCCCAAGGAGCTATATTGTCATCATCAATTTTTAAATATTTTTCATTTTTATTTTTAATTTTTGTGAGTACAAATTATCATCATCAATTTGAAGTGAGTAAAATCTGTACTTGCCTTTGATGATGGACTTTGAGGAGGGAGACGTGAGAGTGCAGATTTTCCAGGTGGTATATGTGCGCAACTGGGCCCCCCTTGGCCAACCACGAATGTGATGACTTGGTTTGGTTGGTGTGCAGGAGCGGGGCTTTTGGGGAGATTGGAATTGTTTGCAAAACTTCTCTTTCATTGGCCATGGAAGGAAAATTGGCACTCCAACATTAAGAAAAGTGGCTGGTAATGAATAATTCTATTTCATTATTCTTATTTGAGGGCTTAAATATTTTGAAACTTATTATTTGGGAAAAAAATTAAATAAAGTGTGTTTAAATAATATTAATACTTTGCTAATTTTGCATGATGATATTTATTCAAGCCCTCCTACATGAAAATGTATGAGTTATTTATATAACTAGCAAAGTTTAAACAAATAATAGTTATCAATGCTGGTGAGTGAGTATTCAATAATTGGGGATTAGATGCAGATAACATCTGTTTACATAATAATTACCTGATTAGATGGCCATACTCTGTAAGGTTTTTAAAGTAAAATTTAGTGACTTGGAAAATGCTTGCAATTTGAATAGAGACTGGATAAGATATATGGCACAGGTAATTTATGTGCTTATATGAAACCATGTTCCTTAAATGTAACATGTGGCTAATTCTAGGACCCATTTGAGAGAAAGGGTATTTGAAGTAAACAGGACAGTGGGCGTTAAACGGGATGCTTGCAACTATCAAGTGCTCAATTACTATTAGCTCTTAAAATAGCCAGTACTGGCTCTATTTTCTTAAAGTACTTAATTTTTTTCATTACGTGATATATATTTTTGTTGTTACTATTTTTGCTGCTGCTGTTGTTTCCTACAAATTGTTTCTGGTTCAGAATTTAGCTTGTTTCTCTAATTTTATTATAAGCATATAATTTTTTCTTACTTTTTGGAGGGGCAGTGTTGTTGTTGCATTAAAAGCACAGTTTGAAAGACCCGAGATCAACAAAGTCATGTTTACAAGCAAATATGAAACTCAGTTTTGCAATTTCAATTTTGTATTGCTTGCCATTACATTAAGTTGTCATGTAAATGCTTAAAATGATCAAAGCTTTTAGAAAGCCATGCTCAAATTTTTGAGGATGTAACCTCAAAAACTCAATTGTCTCAATTTTCTCTTACTCTTCCAATAGTTTTCTAGCTTTCAAAATAATTACCAAATTATTAAACTTCAGAAATAAGTAATTTATACTATTTTCATTGAAAGAAATCATCAATGGTGTGCACGATAATGAAAAGGTGGGAATTTTTAACAAAAATGTCTAATTTTGAATTACTGAAAATGATATTTTGAAGATAATTTTTATTAATAATTTTTTTCTATTTTATTATTGGAAATGCTTTTAAATTTTTAAGTAATTTGGCTTAAGAATATAGGCATTGCGTTGCTAGTTATCTTTCTATCTTCATCAAAAGTTTATTGAAGGTAAATGGCTTTCTCTTGTCAAACATTGTGAGGGAAAGGCTGTTTGTAGCCTTCAAAATAGTTTAGGATTGTTCTATAGTAGGTAACATGTATATTATTTGTTGAAATAAATACTTTAGGAAGTTTAGTACTTTTATATAAATTCAAAAACTCATATGTAATAGACTAGAGACCAAGTAAAAGAAAATCAGAGAAGTAGAAATTTAAAATAACTGTGCTAAATCAGCATTAAGCTCAGTGAAATCCTCAACAACCAATGCCTCTCTCTTTTAG